CGTGCTTTTCGTTGATGTGCATGTATGTACTGGTAATGAGATATTTTACTTTTTTAAATTTTTATTAAGATTATTTTTTTCTCAACGTAATTGAATAAACGGATTCTTGTCTAATTACCATAATAATTAATTAACGCATTGAGTACGATGGTATTGATACGCTAACGACTGCGTTTTTAATTACCACATAGTCGCGATCGAACAGGAGGATAAAAAAGAAAAACAGGAATATTACGTCGAGTGCATAGAGCAGATAGTCATTTAAGTATTAGACAATGGTGAGCTATTTCAAGACGAGATCTGGCCGTATTGTCTCCTCTCTATCTACAGAAGCAGGAGCCAAAAAACAAGAAGAAAAGAAGAAGTATAGACAATACACACAGAAAATGAAACGAGAGAATTCAGATTCGCAAGTGAAAACGCGAAAGCGAAAACGAGCGAGTTCCGAGACAGAGACAATAGAGTCAAAAGAATTCGACTTGAAGGATCTATCGAAAAAACAAATTCTACAATGCATTTCTGCGATTTTTCATATGACTCAAGAACAGTTAAAAGAGACGAACGGTCTTTTCGCTGTGGCTCAGCCAATATTTATACAAGTGACTAGCGTTAAAGTGCCGAAGATGCCTCGTAGACAAATGAGAATGTAAGTGAATTTATGGGGCTTTTAAAAGACTTTTTTTTTTATTAAAAACTTCACATGATTATATATTGTAATTGCCAATGGATCCTTATGAGAGATTTTCTGATTATAAATCCTGTAATGATGATACCTCATGCATAATAAAAGTTATTGTGTTCCTGTCAAATTTCTAATTAAAATTTATATTTCTTTGTTTATATATATATATAGATTGTTGCCATATTCAATAGTGGCTCCAGATGATGAAGTAGCTTTATTCGTTTGCGATTTAGAGAAAGGAAGAAGAAAGGATTATGAACTAACAGTGGAACATTATAGAAATTTATTAGACAAGCATGGATGCACTCGTGTGAATGAGATAATACCTATAAATCGTGTAAAAACCGAATTCGATCAATTTGAATTGAAGAAAAAGCTTTTATCCAGTTATGATCACTTTCTTGTTGATGGTCGTATCGCTGGCCACATGTCTCATTTATTAGGAAAAATCTTTTACAAAAAACGAAAACTACCAACTTCAGTCAGAATGGAAAGCAAGGACTTGAAGCATGAGATTGATCATGCATTGAAAAAAACTAGTATGCAGCTTCATTCTCATGGTGATACTCATTTGATGCAAGTAGGGAATACATCTATGAAAAAGAAAAGAGTTTTGAAAAATATATTGGCCGTTTGTGAAGAATTGTCCAAAAACTATCCTGGTGGTTGGGCAAACATACGAGCGCTCCGATTGAAAAGCAAAATCAGTCTAGCATTGCCTTTTTATATGACGTTAAGTAAGTTGAAATATAGACTTAATTTATTGACGACATAGATTGTTTCTTTAAATAAATTTATGAATTTCAGAGAATAAAAACACTGTTGATCCAAGTACAGTGGCGATACAGCCAAAGAGACCGAAAGCTTATTGCGATGTAGAAGGAGAGCTTTCAACATACATAAAGAATGTCACAGTTACGGTTAAACCTGAAGGGACAGTCATCCTCAAAAAGGAACAGACCAAGAACAAATCAAGTAAAAAAATCACAAAGAAAAAAGCTGAAAATTAAATGGAAATTCCAATAACATGAAAATTCCGTTGTTTGTATTTTTAAAAATCTTGTAAAAAAAGTAAGAAATGGTAATCACAAAAATTTTCTAAATACATGACATTATATATGTTGTCTAAGTTTAATATTCATTTAATTAATATTAAATATCACAAATATTTTTATCATTTCTAGTTCAATTATTGTATCTAAGATAATAATTAGATAAGCATGTAACACTACTTAAGAAATTATTGATGTAGCTCTGCCTTTTTAGATTTCATGAATAGAAACTGTTTTTATGCTATTTTTTTTTGTTTAATTTAACTTTTTTTATTTAAAATTCTGAGGCTAGAATCAAATTTAGCGACTTTCCAAAAATTCTTAGAAAAGGTTTTCTATAAATTATTTTATTAAAAAGCTCCTCAAAGAGTTAATTTAAATTAATTATTGCGTTAAAGGACATTATCTCTTGGATATCATCATTTGGTTAATAAAGGCAGTTTATTGCTTAACAAATAATTTCTTTTTTATTGACATACTATATTATGTGCAAATACTTGAAAGTGTGAGAAACATTTCCTTCCTAATACTAATAGTCAATATAAAATAGTTTGATCCTTCTTAGATATACTCTGATATCCATTAGCGGGCAATGTTGGCAAATTGTTGGTGACACCATTAGAATTTTGCATGCTCTTGTACACATTTGTTGCGTCTATGACCACTTCGATCTCTTGAAAGTTTTGAAGTCTCTGAATATCTTTGTCTCTTCTCAGTCTAGTATTGGGCAACTTTCGTAGTTTCTGAATTTGATGCGAATTGAGATCTAGCTCTTTGCAACACAGGCACAATAGTGCCTGATATGTTAGCTCGCTTCGTGGTAATTCTACCTCTATGAAATCTGAATCCGCTGTACTGGCAATCCGGATTTTCAATACCAATTCTAAAAATATATTAAAATACAATTATATATATGTATATATGCTACAGCAGCTACAGTATATAATATAATAGACTATACATAATTTCCTTAAAAATAATTTTATTTCAATTTACTTTAAACTGACTCAATATAAACATAACTTATCTTTCAATAGTGATAAGACATCGGATTCTCTTATGCAATTTCATACTTTTTTAGAAAGCAGATTAGAAAGTAACATAAAAATAGAAATTTGTCTCATTAAAAAAGCATTATAAAACTGCATATTTATTTGTGCATATTTGCATATTTGTGCATGTCTGCAAAAGATATCTGCATAAAAATTCGATGTCTAATGATAATGTTATTTTAAAAATCACGATTAATTTTTCTGGCTAAATTTAGAATGTCAAGTAACTAAAGAAAATGTATCAATTTATATCGGACCATCTTGAAATGATGAGACGAGTCTGCTTTTGTCATAGATATTATTTCTGGCTTTTGAAGAATTTGCAGTAGCGCGCATAAAATCTGGTGGAGCATATGGAGATGGAGCTACACGTAACGACGTGTCATACATGATTCGCTCGAGGTCATCGTTTGTGCTTAAAAGATATAAAATTTGTTGGTTGCTGCAGACAGATGCTGGGGTTTCGCCTATCTCGGATCGTATATTTTTATCGGCACCATTTTTCAAGAGTAAGACAACCATGTCCAAGTATCCCTCTTTACATGCCCAATGTAGTGCAGTCCTTGAGAAACAGGAATGAACAAAAAATGAATATGATATAAATATCTTAATAAGTAAATCTATGGCTATGTTCGCTTTGTCGCTCACAATGCTTTAAGCGTCGTTTCATCTCGTTGTTTATTAAATATTAAAAAGGATAAATGATGCTCATATATATATATATTGTAAGCGTCAAAGCGAACACAGTCTATAACAGTTAGATTTACTTATTCTGTTACTAATATTGTATGCCTTCCAACAAGCGACACAAATGACACGGTGTGATACAATGGATCATTACATCCTTGTTGTTTGCCAATATTAAACAAAGATGAGATGATCACTGTGTCGCACTGTGTTGCTTGTTGGAAGGCATCCATTGTAGTACATATGCATATATAAAATTCATGTATTTTTGAAGTTATGTAGTTAAATGTATTGTGAATAATAGTATCTTATAATATTAACAGAATTCTTTTAAGCATAATGAATGAGACAGGTCAAAAACTTTCAACGATTTAAGACTAGTGTCGTTCCTGAGTCCGAGTTGCCACGATAAAGCAATGAAATGAGTAGGAATGGTAATAGGCATGAATACTGACACATTTTAATTTCAAACAAAAAGTATCCGGTCCTGGACAGCTCTGATCTAACTTTTACATTGACATTAGAGTGCATTATATTCCAAACAATAGAACGTAAATTACTCTATTTAATGAGTACAAGCGAGAGTGAACTTCATACAGGATTAAAAAAAAATTCAGAAATAAATGTGTAAATGTATTTTTATGGGTTCTGTCTGTGAAGCTATGAAAGCAAAGTTGAAATAACAAGTACCATCCGCTGACAGGCTCTGGCGCGTTAACGTCAACACCTAGATTCAAGAGATCTTGAACGGCTTCGATGTCGCCGAGGCAGACCTTTTCTCTTAAACGCTCTTCGAGCACTCTCTCGAAGTTGCTCATTTTGCAGCAACAATTTACGTGCACCGCTTTGTGATATGTCACATTTTTGTAATGTTTGAATATTACAGGCGAGCGAGGCAGCTCAAAGATGGAACACCAAACGTACGGTAAGCATAAACATGGTCGTGTTCTGAGACTTCGGAAATCTATAGTTCACGTCACGTATATTATAAGGTGAATATAGATTTTCGTACTGGTAATGTATACAAACATCGGAACACATCCAGTCTAAAATTGCTGCTAACAAGCCATATTATATAGTCAAAGAGAAGAATAGGATTATTCTTTTTCTTTATCCCACAGGATATGGAACAATGGAACTTCTTATAAGGTTCATGTTTCTTTTTTTTTCATATTGAAAATAAAAAGACAAAAGATGAACCGTGCAAGAACGTCCAAAACATTCTCTCCAAAGAATATTATTATTATTATTTATTTATTTATTCGATAAAATTTTCCTCGGAGATAACATCTTGAAATGTAGTCTAGGACCAAATTTTCTTATTGGCTATCGCATCGTGAGATCGGATGTTGCGCGCCGTGTGAATGCAGCATAATATTGTTCTAAACGGACCAACGCAACGGTTGGTAGTGTAGTCGCTACTAGATCTTCATTATCATATGTTTTCCGCACACTGTTGCAAGTGTTAACATTCATACACCTGCGAGCTGTTTAAGGCAGTGCAGACTCATCGCCGAAAAAAAATCTCTACTCCAAAACACCGTTTTATTCTTATCGTGGAGGACTACGCGGGGTTAATTTTGCGATTGCTTGACGTACGTTGCGCGAGCTCACCACCCCGGCAATATGATTATAACGCTGAAAAACTTACAGCAGCAAACCTTCACGATAGAGATCGACTCATCGCAAACTGTAAGTAAAATTTGGCAAGATCTAGCGACGGAACCGACTTTTTCGAACGGTTAATGATTTAGATATTTGCCTGTTATCAGGTCAAAGATCTCAAGGAGAAGATCGAATCGCAGAAAGGCTTCCCCGCCGAACATCAGAAGTTGATATACGCTGGTAAGGATTTACAGCATCAAATAACCTAATATGTCGAGAACATTATCCAACCGCCCGGCGTGCTCGTCAACACAGCTGGGAGAAAATCCGCGTTAGAATAATATACTGAATATTGCGTGGCCCATATATGTTTAAATATAGCTCCCTCGGGATAGGAATGATCTTGCAGAAACGTTCATAGGTTATGTTTCCGTCTCGCACACGTTGGGATCTGTGACGAATTTTTTTTTTTTTTACTTTCGTTATTGTAACGATGTGCAAACACTTGCAGGGAAAATATTAGCGGATGAGCAGCCTTTAGCAGAATATAATATCGATGAGAAGAAATTTATAGTTGTTATGGTAACAAAGCCTAAAACTGGTGCTACACCTAAAACAAGCGAAGAACAGCGCACAGAGGGTGATAAGAAGGAGGAATCTACTAGGTAACTTGAGGATTGCGATATTTTGCGCGTAAAGCACGATAAATGTGCCGTTTGTTGTAAAATGTTTATTCTATCAAACATTAATTACAACAAATATAATCATTTGCCAAATATTATTGAGAGAACAAACTGTTTCTTTTTTCAGATTATGCACGAGAGAAATTAGTTTACTTCATGTTTCTTTATCTTTCTGTTGTAGCTCGGCAACTACACAACCTAGTTTGAACCCTAATGTTCAGGATACTACACGAGCAGCTAGTAATGTGCAAGAGCAACCCGTAGCAGCTGCTCCAGCGGCTGGTCAAGCAGAAAGTGCCTTGCTAATGGGAGAGGATTATAATACTATGGTAAACAACATTATGGATATGGGGTACGTACGGAGAAAAATGATACCCTGAACTGCAATTATTAGTATTTATATGATAATCTTATTGTTTGAATTAGATATGAACGTGAGCAGGTTGTACAGGCGCTACGCGCAAGTTTTAACAACCCTGATAGAGCTGTCGAGTATCTCATAACAGGTATACCAGCGCAACTCTTTGAGGATCCACCTGAAGATCCACCGGAAGCTCAAGAACAACTTCAGGATCAGAGTCAAGATCCATTGGCCTTTTTACGTTTGCAGCCACAATTTCAACAAATGCGTCAGGTCATTCAGCAGAATCCACAGCTGTTGAACAATCTTCTTCAGCAAATTGGTTCCACTAATCCTGCCCTTTTACAGCTTATTTCTCAAAATCAGGAAGCATTTGTACGCATGCTCAACGAACCTGGTTAGTCTAGTATATGCTTAAAACATCATTGGTATTGTAATCGAAAATAACAGTTAATAATTATATAATATTAATAATATATATAATTTGTCTTGCCTTTTCTCGTGTAGTGGAACCTACTACGGGAACGGGGGCGCGAGTTTTACCATCCGGAGGAGGTGTAGGACCCGCGGCTGCAGCTACTGCGGGAGGCGCTGTGAATGGTGGACCTGGCGCGGGTGCAGCAACGGGCGTAGGATCTGGTTTAATACAGATAACACCACAAGACAGAGAAGCTATTGAGAGGTTGAAGGCATTAGGTTTCCCAGAACATTTAGTCGTACAAGCATATTTCGCCTGTGAAAAAAACGAAAATCTCGCTGCTAACTTCCTACTTTCGCAAAACCTTGACGACTGAATCGCTCATCTTGATTTTGCGCGGTGTTTCGAATAAAGAACGGGACTGACAGAGGGTGGATGATCGCACCATTATCATTTTTACCTTACAATAATCATCTTTATTTTGTATATAGATATATACAATATCTATGCTATTTTATTTGTTGTGTAGATAAAATCCTGGTGTGTTTGGTAAGCGATTGAATTTAAAGATAGGCGCATACCATAACATATATGTCGACTCTTTTAAGCATTGTTTCATATTTTTAAAAACATTTCATTCAATATCTAACACATGTTTATGAGAGAAAGAATTGTTGCTTACAGCAGATGATGTTATAAAATCCATCCTTACAGCCTACAAGTGCTCTAAGATCTTATATTTCTTTAATATATATGGAGCAATATAATTGCATTTTTATATGAGAAAGCCTTATGAGCCTTACTCTGCAGAAGAATACCTTGCAGTAGTTATATATTGAGGGTCGGGCATATATAAATTGAAGATGTGTTCACTCTCGCGTTAAGGTATGTTTTATACATATCTAAATGTTTGCATGTAGGTATAATAAGTGCATTTTGTATATTTCTCGGCTTTCTGATATAAAAATTTTAGAATGCATCTGTTTGGGTATGTGTACTTGCATATATTCGTATTAATGTATGTATGTATGTACAAAGAGATTTTCTATTTTTAAATGACAATATTGGTAAACTAATTTAAATATTAAAAAGCTCTCTTATAATGTGCACACATGTCACAATTCAATAAATTGTAATAGTTTATCATAAAATAAGTAACTTGCTATATATATATATATATATATAAAATCTTAATCTATTTGGAACTTAATAATTATGATTTAAATATAACATTACATTTTTGCTAGTAATGTGATGTTTTTTGCTTATCAAATCATTCATAATTCAATAAGAGTTTAGCTATTATGTATTTATTAAATAATCTTGAATAAAAAAGTCCTTGAATACATTGTTATACATTTAATATTGGAATTTTATTAAAGCTAGATTATGAAACAAAGTATTATACTATTTCAAATATGACATACCTGATGATAGCTTTCTTTTTACAGCATTATACAACATTAATCTTTTTTTAACACAAAGAATAATTCAATTTATATATCACATAATAACATACATACATATATACGCATTTATGCATGTTACATAAGTAGGAAATTCTTAATTCTTAAATTTGTACCATACACAGTTACTTATTAATATCATTGAAACAATAATAAATATTGAAAAATTTTCATCGCTCTTACATATATTTAGTGCAAAAATAATATAAAGAATTATTTGTTGGGAGTTATAGTAGCAATGCATAAAATTCCAATCTATTTGTTATGCTGACGAATTTTATCCCTCCTTTTTTATAAAAATAGAGAAATTATTAATAGAAAAGAACTGCTGTTAAAACAGAACACATTCTCTGTTGTGTGCTCAACACACTTGTAATACATAGTATAAATGAATAAATTACGATTTCCACAAATCCCATTATATTACTACTAACTTTATAGAAAATTTGAGCACGTGCATTTTGTTTTCCAATACTGTAAAGACTGCTATACATAGATATCTAAATGTAAAAACATAACTATGACACCTAAAAATATATGTATCTATATTCTCTAAAACGCAACAATGTTAACATAAGGTATTTTATTAGTCGAGATGTTTATACTTTTATAATTAAAAAGCTTCACATACAGTAGCCTTTTTATGCACCAATATAAAAAGTGGTACAAATAACCACAAATATAAATTCATTAAAAAAGTTCAATTCATAAGCAAAATTTTGTTTAACAGTCTAGATCAACTTTACAAATATGCATAAAACGATATAAAACTTCAAGAAATTTATATTTACAAAATCATATATGTACAAATTAGAAAAGTCAATGTTCTTTATATTTTACATTATGCTATTTACAAAAGTTTTATGAAGTTGAAGAAACATCAGTCCCTTGTAATATTATACCTTTGCTCTGAAGATCCCTTTTAGCTTCTTCTATTTGCTAAAAGAAAAAGCAACAACAGTATTAGATGTACAATAATATTACATGTACACAACTATGCCTTCTAAGAAAAAAATAACTAACTCGTTGAAGTTCGATGGCTGCGCTTTCACAGGTATTAAAAGTGAATACCCTGAACAAGACAACAGTAATTGCATATAATCCAAAAAGAAATAAGGAGATAATTGGAAGGAAAAGTATAATTTCACGCCATTCCTTGACAAGAACAGAGTTGCTTGTAATTGTAGCAAACCACACGCCAAAAATTACAGTTGCACAAGATAGCCACTCTAGTAATTTTGTCATCTGTAAAAAAAGATTTGTCATTTCCCAGTTATTTATCATCTTTATTAAAATGGAACAAAATGCTTATTAAAGAACAATATTTGACTTTTTAATCATGTAGGTAAATAGGTTTTGGAGATAATGTGCATATCCATAAATTTCATATTATAATATACGTATGTGATAAAAAATTCCGTAATTAGTTTTACTGGAGTTTTTGTATCATCATCAAATGTTATTAAAATATTAACATGTGTTTATACATACTTTCTTAGTCTTAACCTCAAAAACCTAAAAGATACAGAAATAATCGAAAGGAATGTGCGTGATGTCAAATGTGGTCAGATGTGTAAATCAAGGGGTCCAAACTGCCATGTTGTGGCTAAGTCACAGTTCATGGCGCAATCTACCAAAGAAAGGAGCAACTTCTTCGGTCTTCCCCAAGTTTGACAAAAATACAAAAATTTAAGCTCACCGCAGTCACTCATCCGATCCACAATCCTATCCAGGGTTGGGAATGTATGATACCCTGTGTATCATACATAGGTATTCTACGTATGATACTGAAGTATGATACCACTTCACTTTCATACATTTATGTATTAAGCTGGTTCTACATTAGTCCGGATCTACAATAGGTGTTTTAAGACTTAAGCCGTAAGAAATTGACCAATTACAGTCGAATCCGAGGGGAATAATCGATTGTGATTCGCCCATTTCTTATGGCTTAAGGCTTAAAACCCTATTGTAGATCCGGGCTTATGCTTGGTTTATGCTTCGGTCTTAATCCTAAAATCTTAAAATTCAGCCAATAGGCCTGTCAGTCTTAATTGATCTTAATGGAAAACTGTATTCCATTGGCTGAATTTTAGGATTTTAGGGTTAAGACCAAAGCATAAACCAGGCATTAATTGATTAATTTTTGACGATTTTAAGTTTATTATATTCATTGTACTACACCCATATTACACCCGGGCTTTGTTCGTTTTCGTAATGTATAAATCTATTGAATTATCAAATAGTGACTTTTCCTAAATGAAAATAATAATGAAGACGTCTTCCCCAAATAATTTCTAATCGATTCCATTCATAAAACACATTAAATAAAATCGTTATACATATTATATAATTCGTTCGTTATAGATATTATATAATTTACTGGATTATTTACATTTAAAATGACCCGACCAAGGTCGAAACTGTCTGTTTTAAGTTTATGTTTTAATTTTAAATTTAATGCTAAATATGGGTTTTATGTTATCTCTTTTGCGATGTTCAATTAACGCTAAATTATTTTATTGTTATTTTTATATTAAAGGAATTTTTTAGAAAATGTCTTTTGTTGCATATGGCTCGTAACTCTTCTCATTTGTCAATTTATTCTCATTGAGCCTTATTTAAAAGTTTTTTTTAAATAAAATTGCTGTCTGCCAACTTGACGTATGATAAAATTTGTTAATTACAAGAAAAATACTATTTCCCAAATGTTTAAATGCTTTTCCCAAACGATTCCTAAATTATATAGACATAAATAAATCAGAAATATTCAATTTGTCTGCTGTCTTGTCAGTGGTCGTTGACTGGCTATCACGCCAACTTCCGCCGCGCGACAAGCGTTGCCGCGTTCTGTGTGCAGGAGCCATTTACTCATGAAAATTGGACAATTATTTTATTCTAGATCATTCTTATTTATTTGTAATTATGCTGAGGTAATTTATGATTTCAGAAAGAAAAAATACAAATATACTTTCTTCAAATATATTTTTGTTATTTACAAATATTTATTAAACCATAATTTATCAACCGGTGATATCCATCTTTGGCAACCAAGCATGTTATTCTGAACCATGTATTTCCAAGTCCAAAGATGCAGATTGTTTTCTTCCAACCATTTCTCTTTAGCTACATTTTTATCTAGAATTTCTTGACTGATAGCTTTGGCTTTGAACGGTAGTTGATTTGCTATTTGGTTTAATACTTTTTCTAACTAAAAAAAATTTTATGTATCAGTATATTTCCATTTATTTATACATTTTCCATTTAGAAGTCAATTTCTAATATCTCATGTCCCACTTAATATATGCTACTGTGCACGATGCAAATAAGCAAAAATTTGCAAATTTTAACACAAAAATCTAAATTCACAAAACTTGATAAAATATCAGGAAATCAAAAAGATTGCATTACTTAAAATTCCAGGAATTTTTCAAAATTCCAAGAATAGTGATTTTAAAAATTCAGAAATTTGAATCATGAAGATTCATTGAAATCAAATTCATATGAAATCAATATTATTGCATTTTTTTCAACGCTCCATTGATGATGGTCAAGAAATTTTGAAAATCAACAAAATATATGTAGAACAAGGTTATGTTATCTAAAATTTCAAGAAGTTTTTCTAAAGATATCTTTGAGATATCTTTTAGCCTCTCATATGTCGTTTAAATAAGTTACTTTAAAAAATGTCAAAAAACAGTTATTAAAATACCTCAAAATATTCACAATGGCCACCAACTTCTATAATGACTCGTCCTGCTTTAATAGGAGTGACATAATGGTCAATAGAACCTTTACCTCCACCCATACGATGTCCTTGTCCCTAAATGACATAATTATTACAGTAAGAAAGTATTTCTTTAGTAATTTTAAATTAAGAAGCGCCATAACGGTCAGAACGTTAAGATGTTGAACTATTGTAAATTCATTTTAAATGAATTAATTTTTCAGAAATGATAATTGCGTGCCGATATGGTTGTCGGACTTTCAACGCAATCAAATCTGAAATTAATAATCCCCCCAAATTCCCCAACTTAAAAACTGTAATAAAACTTATTGCGAAAAATAATGCCTCGGCCGGGAGTCGAACCCGGATCTCTTGCATTCCGTGCAAGCGTCCTAAGCCTTTAGACTACCGAGACCTTAGCATCATTCTTCGCAATAATTGGTATATATAGAGAGTTACGCATTTTCTCAGCGCGCGTGTATAAACAGTTTAAGTTGGGGAATTTGGGGGGATTATTAATTTCAGATTTGATTGCGTTGAAAGTCCGACAACCATATCGGCACGCAATTATCATTTCTGAAAA